GAAATAATTAGGTTTAATTAAATTAATTATACATATAACTTTCAATTTTTATATCTCTGAAACGGTTCATAATTTATATATAGTATTATAGATTGAATTGATCGTTTTTACGCGTCGAATTTTAAAAGATTAACTTGGTTGAAATATGAGCAATCCGAAATTTAGGGTACTTTTTAGATCGCCAAAAATTTTACTTGATTTCTCAAAATGAATTATTACATTGGTCATGATTGTCGAGGCCCGGAAAGGTGGCGGGCAAGATAGGGAATGTGTGGGATAGCGAAGGAACTACAGCAACGCAGTGAAAGAGGATGGAAATATCGGTTGAAATGGGGACAACAAGTTGGGTGGAAAGCAGAGTTGCAAGGTGCAGTGGTAATTGGTAGAATAGCCAGGGAACAGTGGGAAATCAACAAGCTTGTTGTTTTCTCGATGACGACAGCGTGGGGGGAAGGGTGAGAAGTGGAGGAAGGTGTTGGGATGGCTGAACAGAGAGACAACCATGATGGCATGCAACTAGCTACTGGGAGATGGGGAAACTGCAGAGAGAACTGTCAAATCCCAACTGGCCCACACATTTAGGGTCGGTTAAGGTGCGGCAGAGGCGAACAATTCAGCCAGACTAAGGCCCCATTTGGCACAGTTTATTTGGTGTGGTGCGGTGCATTTTGAAAATGCACCCAGACCCATTTGAGTAAACTGCGTTTTGACAGTTTTTTTTCAAAAAACTACGTTTTCAAACAGCTAAATTAGCATTTTCACACCGTTCCTAGCTAGGTGCGGTTGTAGCTTTCTAGCTGTGGCCTGACTTTTCCAAAAATTTAATAAACTGCAGCTGCCCCAAACATACCCTAAATTCTCACCAACACTCCTTCTGACTTGCAAAATTAGAACACATTGGGTGATGAACTAATCTAACAAAATCGGCACAAACATACGTGATACATTGCATTTTATAATTTGGACTCATAAGCATGAAAAATTATATAACCAAAACATATAAAATATACAAAACTACTAAATATAATAAACAAATAAAAATACTACACAAGCTCCCAAAATTATAAAACTATAAATGTAAAAGTTGTATAAGTCACACATGGTTATTCGCACCGGTGTTCTTTGTGCTTTCCTAAAAGAATAAGGTAGAGTGAGCAAAAATAAGCTCAAATAATCAAGATTCAAATAAAATTTTATACGCGGAAAAGAAATAACATGCATGTTCATATGAAACTGTACATGTCCAGACGCAAGTCACAACATACTAGAATCGTATAGAAAATGAATAGAAAGAATGTAGTGTTGAAATCAAGAATGTTGTGTAAAATATGTATGTCAGTCCATTCACGTATAGTCATAAGTATGTTCATAGAAGTGTCATCAAAGCAATATCATCATGGAATCATAGTATTGTTATTTCATTGCAATATCCCTTGTAAATATAAAGTCCTCAACTATATTAATGTCCTATCATCCATATTTTGGGTTAATGCAAGTTATGAAACAATTTTTATGAAACCCTAAGTTACTTAAGAATTTCAAGTTATTTACTCGAGGAGGCGAGCTTGAATCTAGCGAGTGGGAACTCGTCGTACGGCTGCTCCGCTGAGTTAGGAGAAATAATGTTGTGTTAACATAAGAAATACAATCTTCTATAGATTCTCAAGTCTGGTCGAATTGTCCACCTCTGTCACCCCTCAACTGACCCTTAAAGGGGGGTTTGTTGGGGTGTGACAAGAACAACCAAGAGGACAGTTTCTAGAAGGCTGCAGCAAGGACAGCGACAAAGGAAGCAAAGGGAGGTTTGAGAAAAAAGGGAATTCGAGATAAATACCATCTCGAGAGCAAGATACAGCAGGAGCCCACTTGAACCTTGGAAGAAAATCATTACCTCAGAACGAGATATAATCGGAGCATCATTTGACCATGGATACAGCCCTAGAAAAAAAATAGAGGACGTTAATGGAAGTCCTGACAGAAACACAAAAAAAAATGGACCTAAACAAGAAGACGACATATATAGATCTAGGGTAACTAAAAAGCGGACCACTATTCCTATGTGCGGCTGATTCATACCCAATTATGGTCTTTCAACCCCTTTCCAGCGTTAGTTGAACCGGAGAAAGCCGCGGTATCGGTTCATAGGGGGCCCTGCACCACTAGCATTGTGTCGCTAAAGGAAGGAAAGAGAGGTTTGAGAAGAAAGGGGAGTCGAGATAAATACCACCTTGAGAGCAACAGACAGCAGGAGCACCACTCGACCTTTGAAAGATAACCATCACCTCGGAATGAGATATAGTCGGAGCATTATTTGACCATGGATGCAGCCCTAGAAAAGAAATCAGAGGACGTCAATGGATGTCCTGACAGAAACACAATAAAAAATGGACCTAAACAAGAAGATGACATATATAGACCTAGGGTAACTAAAAAGCGGACCCCTACTACTATGTGCGGCTGATTCACGCCCAAGTATGGTCTTTCAACTCCTTTCCAGCATCAGCTGAACCGGAGAAAGCTGCGGTATCGGTTCACAGGGAGCCCGCACCACTAGCACTGCGTCGCTAATCCTTGATTAATTAACAGCAAAAGCCTATCCTATCACTCATGCCATATCAGGCCAAAAAATATTTTTTTTCACGGAGATCACTTTATGATTAACAAAATGTCAGGTAGCACTACTAGCAATTAGCTAAGAAAATAAGGCAGTAGAGACAGATTCCACAACAATGAAACCATCTTCACTATAAAGAAACCTACAATAAAATTGAATCGGTCATAAAAGTAACAGTGCAAATCCAATCTAGTTGATCATAATCAATACCTTTATCATCAGATCATTCATCTTGCATTATTCCATCCTTTGAAGGTTGTGCAACAATTTCAAGAATATTTATGTGTTACAGTTCTCTTTGTTTAGCCTCTAAGATAAACGGATGACCCCTAACATGTGTGTCAATAAAGATGCAGCCTTGCTTGATTCACAATGCTTCCAATTATTCTTGCAACCCTCACAAAATCTGATCCCCTTGTTGATTGGTCAAACAATTCTGATATTGAGTCACGATATGACTATGTTTGATGCAACCTATTGTTCTAATATAGTTAGGCAAGAAGTATCAAGGTTCAACATTTTTCCTTACGCAGACTAATGGAGAATGCTATTTTCACTGTAATTGCAAATAATAATGTACTTCTTTCTATGAACTTTTAATGAGAATAGAAAAAAATAAAGAAAGAGATGATAAAATAATTAAACTGAAATAGAAAGCAAACTATTCAATGCGAAGTTATCAACTAATACTGATGAATGATAGAAAATAAACGAAACTTAAGTTTGCATGAATTGGTGATGAAATACTAAAAAAACTAAACCACGATATCTTAGTAAATCACCAAGATGTCCTACAAGAGTTAAAATATAAATATGTGAAAAGTCAATATTAACTCAATCAAACTTGCATCAAGAACTAATTAAAACAAAGAAAAGTAGGGTGAAGAAAGAATAAATATTCCGATCTCAAATGTGAAATTGAACAAGGATGGCACACCCTGAATGAATCCAAACCTCTTCTTTAAAGAAAAAGACTACATCTCCAAGAAAGCTTATTTCATTGTTAGCTAAAAGATATAGAATTAAACCTTATATAAAATATAAACATCAGAGGAAAAAAAAACTAACAAAGTTCCCATTACAAATGTGACTATCCAAAACCTACAAATTACTAGACCATGAGCTATGGTTTAAAGGAACTTAACTCCTAATGGACTCATCGTAATGTACAATAAGTACAGCATACTAAACAGTACCCAGACAGGCTCACTTGCACCATCTAAGTATAATGTAGAAGATTCATTAACATACCTTAAAATAGACATATCATCTAATATATTAGATACATCATGTCTAATGACGCCAAAACAGATTTTTAGTTTTGAATCATATAACACATGAATTTTTTATGCATCTTATGATGCTAATATAATGCACAGTTCAAAGAACTTACCTTAGGGTTAAACATGGCAAAAAATAGATGTAGTTTTTACATACATACCACCCAATTCCTATGTATTTATATATCTAACACCCTAAACATTACTTTTTACATTTATACTACACAAATCTTCATATCATATAAAAAATACCACTATCTTAATTTTTAAAAAGTGAAATACAGCTTTTCATGCACGGATAAAATGGCATTTATGTATAAAATTAAAGTTTAAGTGTTAGATATGTAAACAAATAAGTATTAAGTGGTATGTATGTAAATTTTCTAAAATAGATATGAAGGCCTTCTATCATACTCTAAGATATTTTCTATCCTTTTTGATAAAATCGACCAAATTTAACTTAAAATGAAAGATACCATACATGTTTTGTTGATTGCAGAAACACCCAAAACACACAAGTCTACCGTGATCCAACTAACTCCAAAGCACCTCAATATAAGAAAGATCAAGAATACTCAATGAGTGTACATTTCCAATGACGATTGTAAACTTTAAACTTTGAGCTCTGCACCGCCAAAGTTTTATTTGTGGTAATAACTAATTACTCAAATGACATTAGGATAATATCGCATGATATTATGTGTCGAGTTAAGAAAATACATGACACTGTGTTGAATCAATAATACTATAATGGTACATGTTACGATAAAATGAACAGCAGCAGATTAAGCACAAAAACAAAAAAGACTGAACCATTTATTATAGAAACCTAGAAATCACTTGAGTTCTAAAAAAGTTGACACCATAACGTAATTTGCAAGACCAATAATAAATCATTAGAATATTATAAGCATGTCAAACAATTACGCTGCAGGATCCCAATACATATTATGCAATTCTACGATACAGCAGGTATTAAAGCCTGGATGTAATCAAGAAGCGATAGCTTATAGAGTTTCCAAAGTAATGAGATGCTACGATGCTGAACAGAAACATGAAAATGTAAATCTTAAGGACAGTTAGAATACGTAGTAAAAGGTACATACTGCTGCAAGACTGTACTTATCACGGAGTTGCTGGCAGAGAGCTAACATTAAAGCTGTTTTACTGAAAAAAAGAAAATTGCATTAAACCAAAATAGCAGATTAAGAACTCACAAAGACAGGTCAAAACTACTCTAAGGACCCATTTTGTTTCTTGTACATAGAAAAATATTTTAGAAAATGAGAAAATCATGAATTCAATTTCAATCATTTTATGTGTGAAAACAATGTCAATAGATTTGAGGGAATTTTGAGAGCATACGTGGACATTGAAATCAAACAAACGATGAATCTATCAAATTTAATGAATTTTTAAAAATATTTTCTAGCTTCAACCAAACAAATGGGAACTCAGGAATGATAAAATTCAAAATTGTTACAAATTAGGTTATATAATTTAAAAATAAAAATACAACAAATAAATAAAGCGAAAAAACTAGGAAAATGGCCTGGTCAAACTATTATGATGTGGAGTTTGATTGTGCTAATCAATTGGACACTCAAAGCTCTCAATTTCGCCAATCAAGTTTGACGGTGAGTTTGCTAGAGGGATACTGGGAGTGACCCAAAAAAAAAATTTTAGAAATATACAACGCCCAGAAGGTAACACTGTCGCTCCCAGTACATGTTCAAAATATATTGAGTATGACGCTCTAGCACACTCAAGGGAGTGTTGCAGTGCCCGGATGCAGTGTCCCAATGTTGAGACCAGTATCGTCGCAGCGCCCAGTCTAGGTTCAAATTTTGAAAGAACGATACTACAACACTCGAATGCAGCGCCACGACACCCCTTTGAAGCACCACTACGCCCTGGGGCCAGTAACCAAATTCAAATAGTTCAGGTTTTATATTTCGGCTTCACTACAGGATTCCATGGGTGTTGAAGTTCGATTCTATAATTTCCTATGCAAAGGAGAGGAAAAAGTTTATTTGAATTCCAAAAATATAGAGAAGCTTAAGTGTGGTGTAATTTTACAATTCTCCTCATTATTCATGATCAATTTCTTGATGTGTTGTGGTTCCATGATTTTTTTCTCGTTCTCAAGTTTTTCCACTTTAAATCTTGTTCTTTATATTTTCTGTGATTTTTGTTTTGTGTGATTCTATTCTAAGTTTTGTATCAAATCGCTCGAATCAGTTTTCTGTATCTGTACCTAATAACAAATATCTCATAGTTCATATCATGGATGCAAACACTACCCACCCCCATTTTTATAAAGAAAGGTAATAAGAGATCTAGCCTTCTATTCTCCAGATTATAAGAGCCTCGAGAAGCTCAAGTTTTCCAACTAGAGAAGAAGATAAATCACTTCATATTGATCATAAAACCATGTAAATAGCAATAACAATTTGGAGACCTTAAAAAAAGTAACTTTATGTGCAACACTAAAATATTATATATTTATAGAATTAAATCCCAAATAATTTTATTCACAATATTACAACTCAATCTTGAAGAGCACAACAAAACTACCATTCATATTTGATGATTTGTTAACTTCTTAATGGTTTGGTTGCATCACACACAATAAAACCCTAATAATTTTATTCACATTATTACAACTCAATCTTGAAGAGCACAACAAAACTACAACTCATACTAGATGATATGTTGACTTCTTAAACGTTTGGTTGTATCACACACAAATATACAAGTCGGTTGTTCATTTGAAAGGTTGGGAATAATTTTATGAATAAAGAACACTTCAGGGGTATGTACTTAAATCTCCCAAAAAAAATTGCTAAAACTTAGAAACCTAGCATCAACAAACAAAATCATTCATTTAACAAATTTAATAATATTATGGCTCTTATGGCTCGTAAATTTCTGCTTAAAAGGATCTTTATATAGGATTCCACGCAGCATATGTGATAAAGCCTGCCAAATGGTTTTATGAGGGACATGCATGAAGGTTGGAGTTAAAGCTAATATTTAATAATCCAATCCTATCTTCGAATTAGCATATCTTGGCAACAATCGGAGGCTTAAGTATTTAGTAATTCTTCTTGCTTATATATAAATAAACTCTTCAGGATTTAACTAGAAAAAAGATATTAATAAGCAAATATTTTTCTGGACATAACATTTCTATGATTTCCTAGATCTCGATTTCTACTATTTGCTAAATCCCTATTTGTTTAAATCCTGCATGTTACCAAAAAGCCAGAAAAAGTATAAAAAAAGATGGTCAAATTGACAAATCAGACAGCATGAGAACGTCGCATGAGAAAGGAAAAAGTGTGTACCCAGTGCCGACGGGACCACCAATGCCGACGGTGAAGGCGCGCTCTTTGAAGTCTCTTGCGCCAAGCGGCGGCGGGGGGGCCGGCTACCGAAGAGGCCGGGTGAATAAATCGGCTCGTGAGAATGTGGTGCCAGCCCGTCATGCGAATGATAAACCCTGCCGTCCTGTCCCACCCAGGACTGCGATCCGTCTTCAAGCTGTCCTCTGAAACCAAATGGATATGAGAAAAGAGCGATGAGCTTTGCTTAGCTGATCAATGGACAAAGATGAGGAAACGGAGTAGAAGTGGATTTACTCATGGGTATGGTGGTGGTCGCCGTGGTAATGGTGGTGGTGATCCGCTTCGGGTTCCATGAGTGAGGAGATTTGTGCTGAGAAGAGAGACGAGGATGAGTTGAGTGAAATGTGAGGAGGAAGCACAGTTGACGCTTGCGGGGCATTGTAGTTGGAAGACCGCCCGAATCCTCCCAGCCATAAATTTTTTATCGAGCTAACCGCCCGAATCCTCCCCACCATAATTTTTTTATCACAGCTCTTATTTTATTTTCTGAGATTTATACACATAACACGATGTATTTTCATAACATAAATTGAAGAAGAGTTATCCAAAATGAATCAGCTCATGCTCAACTCCAAAAAATATATGAGAAAAAACTTATTAAAGGGCGTTCATAATCAAGTTAGAATACAAAAACAGACCTCTTATGATGACAAACTCGTGGTTAATTACAATCTCAGAGCGACCATCAATAAATAAAAATATTCAAATTTTACTGAGATAAAATCACTATATAATAAAAAAAACATATACAATAATCATGATTTAATCTCTCTATCACCAGAATATAAATAGCAACATTAACGTCAAAAATATATATATAAGGAACTGACATGCCTAATATCAAACTCTCACAAATAACTCAAAAGTCTCTATTAATCCTAAGCCTTATCATCCCCTCAAAAAACACATATGAGTAAAGCAGAGGCGAGCAATTACATCTCAATAGGCTACCTAAAACCTAGTATAGTTTTCAATATTAAAAAATAATAATATATATGTTTTCATAAAAAATAAATTGAATATGATGGAACATCATGTATAGTATTTATCACAGTACCAATACAAGAAATTGTAACTGGAGTAGACACATCTGAGGAACAGTAAAAACAACATGATATCATAACTATAGAAAAATAACATGAGATTAAATTAAATCTCTTTATTTGAATAATTTTAATATTTTTCATTCACCCCTTATACATCTACTTGTTCATATTTCCCTTATGCCCCTTATAACTATACTTTTGCTCAAACCACCATTTGTTGACATATGTTCAGGTGTATTAAACACACAGATGGATAATTACATACAAAAGCCCTTGTAAATCCACTTGACTACATATAACATACAGTCGCTTAACCAGGCAACTTGCAACTCCTCAATCTTTTTTCATATTTTCCACATATTTATGATACAAAAACATATAAATGCTAACAAATTTGACATATCAAATTTCACAACATGCTATAAAAGTAGTACATACTAATAGCATAAGTACTAATATAATTAATAGGCCAAATAAATCTACACTATCAAAAAATGCAACTTGCAAACTACTTATATGGAATGTCCAAAATATTATTTAAAACATTTCTTATTCCAAAATAAACTTATCGGGTTTAAACATATGTGCTCAATTATACAAAATATTATATAACACAAAATTTATGGAAAAAAACTAAATATTTTTATGTTGGTATGTTCAACAATGTCTAATCTATAACATATAAAAAGTTGTGCAATGACAAATTTGTAAATCTTCACAAATCTGAGTTTGGGATATTTTGGTAAAATAAAATATCAAAATTTTATGAAGAGTAAGAACATTGAAATCTAAAGTAGATTAACAGTAACCTACCTAAAGCGAGACAATTTTCTCAACTAGTCTAATAGACGAAATCAGTTGTGGCCTCTAAATTGAACTTTCTCTGTCTAAGTTTTTCCCTTTCTCTCCCTAGAAGTCGCGATTTTGAAAAAAAATAGAAATGGAAAAATGCATGGGATGATACCTAGGTAATGGTTTAGGATATTTATGCTTAAAATGGTTTTTTTTATTAAATAATGGATATAAATGTAATTTAGAGAATTGTTAAATTAATTAAATATATACTTTGAAGAATTTTTTTATATCTTGAAATATAATATTCCAAAAATTGCAGAAATAGACAATAAATAGAAAAACAAGTCTAGAGCATATTGGTGAAAGTAATTTGCAAAACAAACACCACATAGCTCCAGAAAGCCCACTTTATAAGGAAGTACCAAATCCGTAAGGAAGATAAATCAAACTAGGAACCTTTATTTTTCTACTCATGATGTCCGTAAAAATAAGCAAGAAAATATACTCAAAATATAATCAAGTTTGTTCGACAATTTGATAAAATATTTTATAAAACAGGCATGAAACAAAGTACTAAAAACCGATAAAGAGATTAAGCATCAAATTAACTAAAAAAACTTTTAAAAAAAAATCTATAAACATAAAATAAACATGTAATACTTATCGTATCAAAAAATTTACAGTCATTACGTTCTTCCATCCATATAAAAATGACGTCCTCAACATTCAAGATTACTAACAATTAAATAAATATAGATAAAACTGTCACATATCATTCTCTTTTTCTCAAATGGCTTCCCTGTGCTTCCACTGAAATTTTACCATAGGAATCTGCTTGCTCCTTATTTACGTCGCATTAAAAGCCAAAATATGCTCTGGTTACTCTCTATAGGTCAAGTTAGGTTGTATCTAAATCTCATCCTTGGGAACTCTATGCTTAACATCAAAAATACACTTTCTTAGAACAAACATATGAAGCATATCATGCACATCTGACATAAGATCGAGTAGTAATAATTGATAAGCATAATTATCAACCCTACCGATCACCTCAAAATATCTAAAGAATCTAAGACTCAACTTTCCAACTTTACCAAATATACTTACTCATGCGACTGACCTACAAATATACAAAATCTCTCACCTGAAAGTTAACTAATTGATGCTTTGTGCCATAATACTTCCTATGTCTATCTTGTGTGGCTCTCAATCTATCTTGAATTAGTCTGATATTTTCAGAGGTATCTTCTACTAACTCGAGGCCCATCAATCTTCTTTCACCCACTTTTATCCAAGATAAGGATGTTATACTCATTCTAACATATAAGGGCTCGTGTGGCGTCATACCAATACTCAACTAAAAACAGTTATTATAGGCAAACTCAATGAAAATAACTTGTTCCTCCCAGCTCCTTCCATCTATCTGTAGTTGAAAAGTTGTACTTTTGTTTAACTTAGTCTCCAAGCCTTTCTGAACATGTCTCCAAAATCTATAAGTGAATTTGTCATCACAATAAAAAAAAATGATCTTCGGTATCCCATGTAGTTTTGACAATCTCACATATGTATAAATGTGTCAACTTCTCAATTGAATTTGCTTTTCTCATAGGAATAAAATGTGCAAACTATCAACCACCGCCCATATTGCATCATGACCTTGCCTCAACCTTGGAAAACCTATAGCAAAATCTATAGTGACATCCTTTAACTTCCACTTAGAAATAGGCAAAAGTTGCAGCAAACAACTAGGTCTTTGATGCTCTGCTTTCACTATCTCACATGTCTCACACCTTGAAGCAAATTCGGCCACCTCAAGATTTATCCCAGGTTACCAAAACATCAACTTCAAATCATGATACATTTTACTGCTCCCTGGATGAATTTTTTGTCCAAAATATTGGGCCTCATACAATATCCCCTTCCTCATATAACCATTAGCAGGAAGTCAAAGTTGATTCCTACAAGTCAACACCCCACGAGCCTATGCACGTAGCTCAAGTCTTCTCTTTGAATTAATCTAATCAACTAATTTGGCATTCTCATCATCAGCTTATGAGCTTCCTTAATCATCTCCTGCAATGAATCTCAAACAATAATTTGTGAAACTAATGCATCTGCATCACCAGAATGAATAACTTTCAACTCTAACAACTTCATCTCTTGAATTCAAATCTCATCAGATGTAATCAAACAAGCTACCACACCAACAGACTTTATACTCATAGCATAAGCTACCATATTTGCCTTACCAAATTGATAAATAATGTCGAGATAATAATCTTTAATCAACTCCAACCACCTCCTCTGTCTCAAGTTTATCTCTCTCTGAGTGAAGATGTAATATAAGCTTCGATGATTGTATAGTTCCCACATCTCACTCCATATAAATAATGTCTTCAAATTTTCAATGCAAATACATTAATTGCCAACTCAAAATCATAAGTGGAATAATTTTTTTCTCATATGACTTCAACTGTTTCGATGTATAAGCAATCAGTGAACACCTGAAAACCTGAACCCAATTATATCAAAGAAGCATCGGTGAACACCTGAAAACCCTCAGTACCATTCAAAATTATCAGAATAGGCACCAAGATCATGCAATCCTTCAAATTTTAAAACTAGTTTCACACTTAGGTGTCTAGTCAAAAGGAAATGCCTTATGAGTCAATCTAATTAGAGGAACTGCAATCTGTGAAAAGCCCTTAAAAAATTCTCTATAATAATTGCCATGCCAAAAAGCTATGAACTTTAGATATTGTAGTTAGTTTTGGTCAATCAACAACTACCCGCACCTTCTGGGGATCAACATAAATACCATTGTCACTAACCACTTGGCCCTGAAAAAAGAGATGTTGTTTAAGGTCTATTTGGTTGAGTGAATTAGTGGTATATTGTAATTCTTTTGCATAAATTTAAGAAAATTATTTGTTTGGTATGGAAACTTGCAAATATAATATAAAATTTGAATGAATTTGAAGTTTACATCGTAGTTCATTTTGGTTGAATATAGAATTTGACCGATTTGACTGAATTTGAATTACATCATTTATGTAAAATGTTATAGGTAAGTCGCCATCGTTGACGGACGTTGACTGCGACCGTAAACCGCCTCTGTCACCCGCAAGAGGCTACCTGACGCCACAAGCCGCTTGCCATCCCGACCCGTCATCCGATGCCGCAAGCCGCCCACCATCCTCAGTCTGTCACCCAACACTCAATATCACCCTAGCCATCGCCGACTGCAACCTACCATCGGTTGCTACTGTTGTCTGCCACCCACCACTACTATCGTCTGCAACCGCCTATCGGTGCCTTCTTGTCTGCTGCTGCTTGCTTATCCACCTAAAAATAACTTGTTTTTAGTGCGTAATTTATAAGTATTTTATGTACATTTTTTATGATATTGCACTTTAAAGGAATACATTTTGCATATTTTGGTTTCAGGCACTTAGAATGGACATTTAGAGAAAATGAGGAAAAAATGGATCAAGCGAGATGGGCACTATAGCACCCCAGACTGGCGTTATTATGCTTGTAACAACTTTTCTAGAACATAGGTTGAATTTGCCCAAATTTTGGAGGATGTTTAAAGCAACCCTTAATTATTTTTTGTTTTCTATTAAATGAGAAGGATTTGGTCGAATTTAGGGACCTTTTGGAGCATCAAAACTTCAACTGGGCGGCAATAGCTAGTTAGGTTTTTCATATTTTGTGTTCAAGTGTAAGTGTGAGTGTGTTTTAGTGTGAAAAAGTTTGAAGATTGCTTAAAGGAAACTCTAGAATTTTATAAGTGGAGAAGACATATGGTACTTTGTATTTATGTTTAAGTTTTTGTTGTAATACTTAGATTTCAATGCAAATATTTTATTTTTGTTTAATCTCCATAAATGATGACTAATTCCCTTTCTTTCTCCTTGTATATAAGACTTAATCTTGTGGTATGAGAATGATTTAAATATTTCTTTTTACTCTTAAAAATTTTGATGGTATTTTCATCAAATCTTCATTTACTTTACAAAGCAGCCACTTATGAGGTTAAAATATGTTGAGAAACATAATGACCTGGAAGGGCTATGATTTCACCTAACTAGTAGATACCACGTTTCATTCTAGGAGGAGCCATTGCGATCACCTAAGGGGGAATGTAAATAAATAGGAAGATAAGTTTTGATGAGCGTATAATTGGTTAGTTTTAGAGTGACATACTAGATTATTATCAAATTGGTTTAAGGTTTAGTACACTGGCGCTGGGATTCAACCATCATGGTGACATAGACTTAGGGGCATCTAGAGGTGAGAGGCTAGATAGTTCTGATGCAGAATCAAGTTGTTAAGGAATCAACCTTAAGGGTCTATTTGGGGCGGCTGCAGCTTATTAAATAATTTGTTGATAAGCTGATTAAAAAAAATATGTTGAAAAACAAGGTATGGTGGTTATTATAATTTTTTTTTTTTAAAAAGTCAGATCGGTGCCAGAAAGGTGCCACCACACCTATATAGGTGCGGTGTGAAAACATTGCTTTCAGCGTTCTCAAAACGCATAAGTTGTCAAAATACAATTTATCCAAACAATCCAAGTGTGTTTTCAAAACACCACCACACAAATAAGCTGCCCCAAACAGACCCTAAGTTAGCCAATGTTCTTTGCTAGTACTGTGAGGGAGTAAAGAGTAATGCATGCTTCTATTTGTCACAATATATCAATTTTGTCTTAAATCACTTGAATTCTATATAGATTAAAATCTTTTTGCAAGGGGAAAAATTTTCTATAATATCCAAATTCGCTGTTATATTTTGTTAAGTTGTTACATTTAGTTGTTACTTACTTTTTAACTCTTTAGTAGTAATTTTTAGTAAACATATCATTTCATACCTCTTATTTGTTTAATTTGCAATTTAAATAAAAATTATGTAAGTTGATTTTAAAAGTTACCGCTGTCATCGTGGGATCGATATTGAGGTTTTTAAGGAAAATCCTATATTACTTGAAACAATACGTATATTTGTGTAGTACCCCTAGTGTGAAAATTTATTATAAATCATTACATTTGTTCACACTAGCCGCTAGATATAATTTGAGACATATTTTATGACAAAATTCTGGAGATTAAAAATACAAGTAATTGAGGGTCGGGTCACCTGCCTACCTTCTCACTGTTGCTTAGCCGCCGCAGCCTGATCGCCTACCCATTGCCACTTGCCACCCACCGATGCTCACCACTTGTCGCCCTCGCCTTTGCTCAAGTAAATACATTTTTTTTCAATCTATAGCAAACCAAAAAAAATATAGCCCTACATTTATTTTACAGTGACCAAAACAACTCAAACGCATTTAACTAGATTGTAATTATAGTATTTTGTAAACCTTTTAGATTGTATTTTATTTTTAGCAAATCAAACCAAATTGACACTTCGAGAACTCAACATATAGTTGATGTTGTATTAATATCTCTAACACCAATCTCAAATGAATTACATGATCATTTTCAGACTTGGAATACACTAATGTATCATTAATAATAACAATAACAAATTGATCTAGATACACTTTCAAGACATGGCTCATCAGAACCATGAATACAACTGGGGCATTAGTCACGCCAAAAGGCAAGGCCAAGGACTCACGGTGGAGTACTAATAACTATATTTGCTACATCATCATCTTTCACCCATAACTCATGATACCCAAATCTAAAATTAAACTTTGAAAACATAAATTCATCTTCAAGCTGGTCAAACAAATCATCAATTTTGGCTAATAAATACTTATTCTTAATGGTCACCTTATTTAACTGTTTATATTTAATGTGCATTTGTATCATATCATCCTTCTTTCGCACAAACAACACAGGTGCACCCAAGGAGATACATTAGGTCTGATACAACCCCTATCTAATAACTCCTGCAACTATATTTTTAAATCCTACACTTTCTTAGGTGTCATTCTATAAGGGGCCCTTGCAATCGGAGATGAACTAAGTACAACCCCAATAGAAATCCCAACTTATCTTTTCGAAGGCAAACTCATTAATTCTTCAGGAAAAAAAAAAAAAAAAAAAAAAAAAATATCTTAAAACTCCCTCATCACAGTAACCTCCTCAATAGCCATAGTGGCTTCACCCACATCTTTCACATAAGCAAGAACTACATTATTTCCCTTCCTCCATAATTTATCAACTCAACTAATCCATACCCAATATAACATTAAACTCAATCAAAGATAATACAATTAACTTAAACCCCAACTTTCCATCTGAAATCTCAATATCACATATACAAATTAGATTAGCCATCAAATAATCTCTAGTGGATAATATAATAGAAAAATCATAAGCTAAAATAATAGAAAAGATGATTAAGCAAGTAAGAAATCTCTCAGATAGAAACTAATGACTAGCACCAAAATCAATTAGGATTTAGCCTAAAGGTGCTTAGCTCGTAAAAGTGAATTGCATTATTTATATTGGTAAGATATTTTGAATGTACAAATTAAAGTTTAACATGGGATAAGTAAATAGATAGAAATATATATATATATATATATATATAAATTCATATCAAAAGTTGAAGGCACCTGAACCGCCGGTTTGGACATACCTGCACGATCTAAAGACCAACTCTGAACTCTTCCCCCGCAATTTTGCTGTTGCGAACGAGCCACGACGAGAGGGAGAGAGCGAGCGCGAGCG